ATCTTACACCACACAGTGCAGTATCGGCTTATCGAAGAAGACATCGACCGGAGGGACACCACCCTAGAATGTCAGGGCATAGCTGTCCGGTCAGGCGATGTCGAGCTCGAAATATTCAACATTTATATACCCCCTGTCACCTGCTGCCCGGCAGGATATCACCCTGACATAGGTGCGCTACTCAGAGGTGAAAACCGAATGGTAGTAGGTGACTTCAACGCGCACCACGATCTATGGCACTCAAGCCTGGCCAATGATCGTAGGGGAAACCTTTTGGCTGAGCAGATAGACGATTCGACATTCTGCACCATGAACGACGACGCCCCACCAGGATTATGGGTAGCTGCAGCAGCTCGCCAGACCTCACAATTGCTAGCGCTGGTTTGATCAATAGCATCTCATGGCGACCTATGCTAACACTAGCATCAGACCATCTACCCATAGTCATCTCGATCAATAAGCCCACCGACTTTGCTCCCGCGGACCACCGAACCTACACCAACTTCAACAAAGCTGATTGGGACGGCTTCGCGGAAGTCACCGAGAGCAGCTTCGCCGCAGGGTAGTCACTGCCGCAGCGGCTCGTTTCATCCCGTCCGGACGTATCGCGGAAGTCCGTCCAAATTTCCCGGCCGAAGCAGCTGTACTAGCAAATGAGCGTGACCACCTACGCCCGGGACCCTCGTCTGAGGGACCTTAATTTGGAGATTCGGCAACTGGTAAATCAGCATAAGCGGAAAAAGTGGGAGGAGCACTTGAAGGCCTGTAACTTCACATCTGGTGTGAGTAAGCTCTGGTCAACCGTGAGGTCCCTGTCCAACCCAACGAAGCGTGATGACAGAGTGGAAATCTCTTTCGAAGGTCGCAGACCCGAAGAAATGCGCAGCCTACTTTAGTAGGCAATTCACACTGCACCCTTCGGTAGACGAGGCCAAACGTCGAGTGACCAGGAGGCTGCACAAGCTGCCAAAAAACCGTGCACCACTTGTTTTCACCAGCTGTGAAGTGAAGGGGGGCCATCGGGAAGGCGAAAGCCTCCAAAGCCATTGGACCCGACGGAATCTGTATGCTGATGCTAAAACATTTAGGGCATAAGGGAGTAGCTTACCTAACGGAGGTCCTCAACCTGTCCATGGCCACTCTCATCATTCCTGATGTGTGGAAATCAGGGAGAGTGGTCCCACTGCTGAAACCGGGGAAGCCCGCCAACAAAGGAGACTCTTACCGCCCGATAACGCTCCTTTCCCCGGTCGCGAAGACGCTTGAGGCCCTACTACTCCCATACTTCACTTGCCACCTGACCCCAGCGAAGCACCAGCACGGATTCCGTAAAGTGCACAGCACAACAACAGCACTTAACGCCATAAACACCCAAATAACTCGTAGCCTAAATCGAAACCGCCCCTGTGATAGAACGGTCCTAGTAGCGCTGGACTTGTCAAAGGCGTTTGACACCATCTGCCATTCCACGCTACTAGAAGACATCGAGGCCTCCTCACTACCACAGGGACTGAAGCGATGGTCGGCGAATTATATGAGTGGTCGACAGTCGTCAGTAATCTTCCGAGATCAAACCTCGAAACCAAGAAAGATTAAACAAGGGGTTCCACAAGGTGGTGTTCTCTCCCCCTTACTATTTAACTTCTACATCTCGAAGCTTCCTCAACCACCTGAGGGAGTTTCCTGATCTCATACGCTGACGATTGCTCGATTTTGGCGTCCGGGAATGGAATTGATGACCTCTGCTCAAAAGTGAACGACTATCTCTCCAGCCTTTCTCGCTTCTTAACTGCAAGGAGCCTAACACTCTCCCCAACGAAATCAACGGCGACCCTCTTCACCACCTGGACGAAGGAGATCAGGCTAGAGTTAGGAATACACGTCGATGGCACACAAATACCGACTGTAAACAACCCGAAAATTTTAGGGGTCACCTTCGATAGCCTGCTTTCCTACTCCACGTACACAACCGCAGTTGTCAATAAAGTACAGAGCCGCAACAAGGTCCTCAAGTCGCTCGCCGGCAGCACTTGGGGCAAAGACAAAGAAACGTTGCTGGCAACATACAAGGCAATTGGCCGACCGGTTCTAAACTATGCTGCGCCAGTTTGGACGCTTGTCAGAACGCCGCACTCCGGACAGCGACTGGGTGCCTTCTGATGACGCCTGAGCACCACCTGCACAGCGAGGCCCAAGCGCTCCCCGTAAGGGAACACAATAAAATGCTCTGTAAGCAATTTCTGGTGGGGTGTCACAGAAGTGAACACCCTAACAGACCGTTGCTTCAGGAGGAGCCTCCGCCCAGGTACGTCAGGGGGCACCTATTCGTGTACAAGGACGCAGTCCAACTGTACGTTGACCAACCATTGGACCCGACGACATACAGACGAGCCATCAACGACATTCATAGAGAGTCAGTTACCACCTACCTCGACTCTCGACCTATGAATGCCGTAATACGAGCCCAATCACCACCAGTACAAGAGACGGAGCTTCAGCTGCCACGAGAGACCCGCGTTACCCTGGCTCAATTACGGTCTGGATACTGTAGCCGCCTTAACAGCTACCTGTCCAGACTTGACCCCAATATCCCCAACGAGTGCCCGGCATGTGGAGAGTCCGCCCACGACACCAACCACCTCTTTACATGCCAGCTCAATCCGACTCAGCTAACACCCCTCTCCATCTGGTCCGAACCCATCGAAACAGCTCGTTTCCGCGGCCTCCCGTTAGTTGAGCTTGACGAAAATGATTGAACGTAGACCCGAAAAAGGCGGGGCTTAGTAGTGCCGCTACAACAACAACAACAACAGCAAGACGAACTCGACAAGAAAAAGAGGAAGCATCGAACAAAAGGCAGTGTTGCCAAGTTTTGAATTTGAAAAAGCACCAAATTTTTATTGGTATAATTTATGGACTTTATATGAATACATAGTTTTATTGTAAGGATGCCGATTAAAAGTAATATGAAATCAATGTTTCTTGCACAACGGTCGATTTCTTCTGGCACGATTGAAGGTGCTGCACATATTTCGTTGTCGCTTATGATTGTCACTGTGCCATGATTTTGTTTAAATTTTTGTAAAATTGCTTACCACACTTACGAATACTATAAATTTTGCTTCCATGTTTTTAAGATTTTCTAATTTGATGTCTTCAAACTAAAAACAAAAGCACCAAAAACGCACCAAGCACAAAACTCAAAAATTTTCGCCTTTTGAATACCCACTAAATTCGGTGCGAAAAGCATCAAGTTGGCAACAGTGAATGTAAACAAAAGTATTTTATGACGTCAGCGATTGGGTGGATGCTGTCAAGTCGACGAAGAGAGGGTTAGCGATCCGCGAATGGCGCGTCCTTTATTTTCTGGATCGTGCACATTGGCTTTCATTTTCATAAAACATCTAACAATGTTTAGAAGAATTTTTCTACAAATACACATAATATAATGAAGTTGAAAAAGCTATTAGTCATTATTCCAAGTCCTTCCAAAAGAGGTTATTTATATTTTACTAGAAAAAAAAATTTAATGGTTTTTGATAATGCAAACGAGCAAAAGTATTAAACATTTTAGTGCATTAAAATTTTTTCATTAGCATTAGCTTGGATAATTTAATGAAAAAAAAATTTCATTAGCATTACATTTTTCAGAATTAATGCATTGAAATATTCATTTGCATTCAATTTCATAAATTAATGCATTAATTTTTTACATTAACATTATTGCTTTAAATACCATTAATGCATTAAAAAATCAATGCATTTTTCACAACTCTGGTACATAGTACATTTGAATCAAGTTTCTATAAAGTCTACACATAGTATTTTTGTTCGTCTCTATACAAGATTAAAAAAAA